CCCCCCCCCCCCCTCCTCTTGGTCTCTCTCCCCTTCCATGTCCCAGCTTGGTGACAGTTCCGGTGAAGGGAATGAGTTTGTGGAGGAGGAAGAGGAGGTGCTGCTGCGCTCAGACAGTGAAGGAAGCGACTACACTCCCGGCAAGAAGAAGAAGAAGAAACTGGGGCCCAAGAAGGAGAAGAAGAGCAAGGCTAAGCGCAAGGAGGAAGAGGAAGAAGAGGAGGAGGACAACGATTCCAAGGTGAGAGAGAGGAAATGCTTTCGATATCCTGTGAAATTCCTGGGATGAGTGATTCCATTACCCTACGGATGCTCTCTCCCTTGCTGACTTCCCGGAGGTTGGTTGTGGAGGGCTGGGATGTCCAAAATTCAAGGTACCACTGAAACTGGGTTCCGTGTTCATCTTGGCTCAGTCGTGGTCCTGGTTGGGAGGGGATGTTGGGTGTCTCATGTTCCTCATCTTTCTGCCTGGACCTCCTCTTCCCATCCTTCCATTCCTTGCCAAGCATTCTTCTCATGACTGGGAAAGACTCCTTACGGAGGTTATGTGTTCTCTCTCTCTCTCTCTGTTGCTACTGACTCTGTCCCTCTCAACAGGAGCCCAAGTCTTCTGCTCAGCTCCTTGAGGACTGGGGCATGGAGGATATCGACCACGTTTTCACAGAAGAGGATTACCGCACTCTCACCAACTACAAAGCCTTCAGCCAGTTCGTCAGGTGAGCTCTTCCAGCATTTAGCTCTCTAGAGCAAATGGCCTTAGAGGTACAAGACCGAAATCACTGTTCAGTGCTCGGCTGCGTGGTGCATTTGTTAGGTGTCTCTAAGCAAGCTTCTGAACCTCAGCTACTCATCTGCACACTGAGGAGGCGGCGTGTGTAATGGTGCTGGCCCACTTTAGAGGACTGTTGTTAGAAGCGCTGAGATAATGTACATGAAGTGCTTTCAGCATTTTGGGGAATTGGTTGTATAAATACAAGGTGTTTGTAAGAAGACCTGGTGCTTTAAATGTAGCAGATCCCCCAAGGCCGTAGTTAGTCTAAGAGGGAAGGACTGAAATGCAGCCAACAAAGCAATTGACGACCACAGATCTGCCACTTATGGTAAAGCTGAAGCTTAAGAAACTTTAAGAAACTAGATTATAATTTTAATTGGCATTCTTGTAGCTGGCGATTTCTGCAAGTTGTTTTGGAAGCCAATGTTTTTGGCCCCAAAAGCATAATCAAACACAGTGAACAAACAAGCGCTTTTTTAGTGTTCATAAATGAAAACGTTTTCCCCGTGTTTGCAGTTTTCAGGGGAATAAGGTAGCTAGTTTTCTTGAGAAGTGGGTCTTAACTTGGATAAAGCTTCCTGAGAAATCAGCAATACCTAACAGTACTCCTTTCTCTCTCTCCCCCCCCCCAGACCGCTTATTGCTGCCAAGAACCCCAAAATTGCTGTCTCAAAAATGATGATGGTGCTCGGGGCCAAGTGGCGAGAGTTCAGCACCAACAACCCTTTCAAAGGGAGCTCTGGAGCGTCGGTGGCGGCAGCGGCTGCAGCTGCAGTAGCCGTGGTAGAGAGCATGGTGGCGAACGTGGATACGGTCCTGCCTCAGCCCCCCGTGGAAGTGCCTCTCCGAAAGGCCAAGACCAAGGAGGGCAAAGGTGAGAGTGGCGTGGGTGTAACGGGCGAGGGTGTCTAGCTCTCTGCTCACGTCTTCTTCTTGCTACTCTGATGGGGGGGGGGTATAGTGGGTGCTTTGAGACCCTGCTGGTCGTCTCTTGTTAAGGTCTGTTTTGGCCCAAGCCCTCCTGCGTTCAACTTTACAGTGGTTTGTGCCACTAGCTCCAGGTGATACTTAGTGACGGAGCGGTGGTGGCCTGTCTCTTAGGTCCCAACGCCCGGAAGAAACCCAAGCCCAGCCCTCGCGTCCCGGAGATCAAAAAGCCCAAAACCAAGAAGGTGGCTCCCTTGAAAATCAAGCTGGGAGGATTTGGCTCCAAGCGTAAAAGATCGTCTGTGAGTTTCTCTTCTCCCAGTAAGAGGGTGCCGAGGGAGGGGGGTTGCTCCTACCTACTAGGCCTCCTGAGGGATGTGGCGGTTGGGGGGGGGGCCAAGGGGCGCCACGCTGGTTTCCCCTGACCTGTACCTCTCTCCACGGTTCAGAGCGAGGAGGACGACCTGGATGTTGAGTCAGACTTTGATGACGCCAGCATCAACAGCTACTCTGTGTCTGACGGGTCCACCAGCCGTAGCAGCCGCAGTCGCAAGAAAATGAGAGCAGGGAAGAAGAAAAAGAAAGGTACAGAACTGTGCTCAGCCTGATAGGGCCACCTGCATAGAGTGTGTGTGTTGGGGTGGGTTTCATGGTGGTCACGGCCCTGAGGACAGATGTGTAAAGAGCCAGTTTGGTGTAGTGGTTAAGAGCGCGGACTCTGATCTGGGAGAACTGGGTTTGATTCCCCACTTCTCCACATGGAACTGCTGGTGTGACCTTGGGTCAGTTACAAGTTCTTTCAGAGCTGTTCTCTCAAGGGCAGTTCTCGAAAGAGCTCTCTCAACCCCACCTGCCTCACAGGGTGTCTGTTGTGGGGAGGGGAAGGAGATTGTAAGCCGCTCTGAGACTCCTTTGGGTAGTGAAGGGCGGGGTATAAATCCAATCTCCTCTTCTCTAAAAGTTTTATGGTTGTGAACCTTGGGAAGAGCTCAGAGTACGTTAGAACACTTTGTCCGTCTTTCAAGGGATAAGTCCTATAGTGTGGTGCAGGCATTATGGGAAGATCTTCAAGCTCCCTTGGGGCCTTTATCTATTGTGTACAACAGCTGGTTCGCTGCTGCTCAGGATCACACTCTGGACTGCCACCTCTGCAGCTATAGCTGTCTGAATGTTGACTCTTTTTGAGCCTTGCTCGTGCTGCGGTGAACTCCGCTTTGGCATTCTCCTTGTTGCACGAAGGACTTGCCGCTCGTGCCAGCTGCCTCATGCCTTGCCCACTTCCCCTACCCTTCTAGGAGAAGAGGATTCTGCTGCCACCGTTGACGGATACGAAACAGACCACCAGGACTACTGTGAGGTGTGCCAACAGGGGGGAGAGATCATCCTGTGTGACACTTGCCCTCGTGCCTACCATATGGTTTGTCTGGATCCAGATATGGAGAAAGCGCCAGAGGGCAAGTGGAGCTGCCCGCACTGTGTGAGTTCTCAGTTCTACGTTCGCCAGCAGGCTGACGAGGCAGCGGCAGGCCGAGAGCGCTGGCTGGGGTTCTCTCGGCTCCTCCTCCTGACCGTTTCCCCCCTTCCCCTTCAGGAGAAAGAGGGCATCCAGTGGGAAGCAAAGGAGGACAACTCCGAGGGCGAGGAAGCCATGGAGGACGTGGTGGGGGACGCCGAGGAGGAGGAGGACGACCACCACATGGAGTTCTGCCGCGTCTGCAAAGACGGAGGGGAGCTGCTCTGCTGCGACGCCTGCCCTTCTTCCTACCACATCCACTGCCTGAACCCCCCCCTGCCAGAGATCCCCAACGGAGAGTGGCTTTGCCCCCGCTGCACGGTGAGTTCTCGCGCTCTTTTGGAAACGGTGGCCCTGGGAGCCGCGTGAGGAAAGGTGTACTGTGATTCAGGAACAACCTCCAAAGGAAGTTTCGAATACTAATGAAGGGCCAAAAGTTAAAAACATCGATAGGTATAGACAAAAGTACACGTGTTTGTTTCAAAAACATATAAAAGCCTTGCAGGGTCCCAAGTAAAGCTTCATAAAAGAATCAAGGTGACAAATGCATAAAAAGAACCATATATGGCCTGACGTGTTTTGGCCCACAAGAGCCTTCTTCAGAGGTCAAATAGTACAGAATACAACATGCCACAAAGCCCCTGTTATACTTGCGAGGCAGTGAACAATGGATATAGGACCAAAAATGGAATGTTCTAATCTGGAATTGAATGACACCAAAAACAATTTGTTTGTGGGGCCACAAATGTATCTGGCCTTATGTCAGAAGCAACTGCATTTGTTGGAGATAGTAATAGTACCAATATGTGACTTCCAGTTTAGGTCCTAAGAGTTCAAGTAAAATCGCCTTATCAGGGCCAATGTAACTTGTACTTTTAGGACCTAAACTGGAAGGCACATATTGGTACTATTATTATCTCCAGCGTATTCAGTTGTTTCTGACACAAGGCCAGATACATTTGTGGCCCCGCAAACAAATTTATTTGTGTGTCATTCAATTCCAGATTGGAACATTCCATTTTTTGGTCCTATATCAATTGTTTACTGCCTCACAAGCATAACAGGAGCTTTGTTGCATGTTGTATTCTGTACTATTTGACCTCTGAAGAAGGCTCTTGGGGGCTGGAATGCATCAAGTTGTATGTGGTTTGGTGTAGTGTTTAAGTGCGCGGACTCTAATCTGGGAGAACCGGGTTTGATTCCCCACTCCTCCACTTGCACCTGGCTGGATGACCTTGGGCAAGCCGTAGTTCTGATAAGAGCTGTTCTTGAAAAAGAGCAGTTTCTGTCAAGAGCTCTCTCAGCCCCACCTACCTCACAGGCTGTCTGTTGTGGGGAGGGGAAGGGAAAGGAGTTTGTAAGCCGCCCTGAGACACATTTGGGTAGTGAAGGGCGGGGTATAAATCCAATCTCTTCTTCTTTTTGTGCATTTGTCACTTTGATAATTTTATGAGGCTTTACTTGGGCCCCTACAAGGTTTTATATGTTTCTGAAATAAACACGTGTATACCTATTGATGTTTTTAACTTTTGTCCCTTTACTAGTTTTCTAAACTTCATTTGGAGGTTTTTGCTTGGTTGGTTCAGTTTTTCTTCCCCCTTCTTTCTGGGTGTATTGTAATCCAGGCCTCTCACGTTCAGGTTCTGGGTTAGAAGCCTATGATGACACTTCCAGTAGCACCTCTAAAGACTAACAAGATTTCCAGGGTAGAAGCTTTTGAGAGTCAGAAGGAAACTTTGGCTCTCAAAAGCTTATACTGTTGAAGTCTAGATGCTCCTTAAGGTGACTCAAATGTAGTTCTAATGCACGGCTACCCACCTGAAACTTTTGGGTCGGGCTCTGAATGCAGATTACATTTTTGTACTTGCGACTGATCCCTGGCTACAGATTTTGTTTGGTGTCATGGCAACTAGCTTTTGCAAATGATTTACCTGGGTGGTTTTGTATTTTTTTTTTTAATTAAAGCCGTTTTCTCCAGGGTGTGAACTTACAGGATCATGTACAAGCTGTAGCAAAAAGGCAGTTGGAGCCTTAGGTTCTAAAAACATGAACGAAATACGAGTGTGATTTTGGTGCAAGATTTCATTGAGTTGAGGAACAGTAGACAGTATTGGGATGTTCTGTCAGGTGTATGAGGCAGATGCAACTCTTGTTCATGCTAAACTGTCAGGAATTTAAAATCTCGCATTCCCCCCCCCAATTGTAAATTGTCTGAGATAGAAATGTAACACATTTTCTCGTGGAGGTCTAAAGTGAAGCACAGTGTTGGTGAAGAGGTCTTCAAGAGTGCCCATAAGATCTCAGAAAGGAGTATAAATTTGAGTTCCAAAAATTAGAGTAATGGGAAACCACTAGAGTAGTGGAAACCACTAACACAGCTTGCCAGATGCTATACCTGCAACGAACATATCTGGCATCTCAAGCAAGTAGCTTATCTTTAAAAGGGGATTAGATTCATGGAGGATAAGTCTATCAATGGCTACTAGCCATGGTGGCTGAGGGGAACCTCCACATTCAGAGGCACTAAGCCTCTGAATCCCAGAGCCAAGAGGCAACCTCAGGGGAAGACCTTGGTCTCTATGCCCTGTTGTTGGCCATCCAGAGGAACTGCTTGGCCACTGTGTGAGACAGGATGCTGGACTAGATGGACCCCTGGTCTGATCCAGCAGGGCTCTTCTGATGTCCTTATAAAGGCCTCGGTCTCTATGCCCTGTCGTTGGCCCTCCAGAGGAACTGGCTGGCCACCGTGTGGGACAGGATACTGGACTAGATGGACCACCCGTCTGATCCAGCAGGGCTCTTCCTATGTTCTTATGAGAGTGGAGGCAAGAGAATGAGGCCAGTGTTCCTAATGCCTTCGTCTCTCCACAGTGCCCACCTATGAAGGGCAAGGTGCAGAAGATCTTGACTTGGAAATGGGGGCAGCCCCCTCTACCCACACCCGTGCCACGGCCAGCTGATGCAGATCCAAACGCTCCTTCTCCGAAGCCCCTGGAGGGAAGACCGGAGCGACAGTTCTTTGTCAAATGGCAGGGCATGTCCTACTGGCATTGTTCGTGGGTGTCTGAACTACAGGTATGCAAAGGACGTGTCTCTTCCTCCCCCGGCCAAAGCAAAGGCGTTGACTCAATCCTACGTTGTTTCTCTAACGTGTAAACTGCTTCTGTCTCCGTCCGCCTCAGCTGGAGCTGCATTGCCAGGTCATGTTTCGCAATTACCAACGCAAGAACGATATGGATGAGCCCCCCGCAGGTGATTTCGGGGGAGAGGAAGAGAAGAGCCGCAAGCGCAAGAACAAGGACCCCACCTTTGCAGAGATGGAGGAGCGCTTTTACCGCTACGGGATCAAGCCAGAGTGGATGATGATCCATCGGATTCTCAACCACAGGTGGCGAAGAGACCTAGTTGGCCTCAGTCTTTTGAAACTTTTAATACTTGGTTATATTTGATGTGGAAGCACTCCCGGACAAGGAGAGGCCGGAAGTGTGTGCTTGTGTGTGCGTGCACGTGCAGTTGCCTTTTAAAATGTGTGCTTCAGTCACCTTTTAAAATTTCAAGGCAGCGGTTACAAAAGCATGAGCAACATATAATCAGCAGCACTAATACACGACAGGCAGCACAGTGATAAGAATCCTATCTCCTCCCAGCATAAGTGGGTGTGTGTGGAGGGGGGGGGATGAAATGCCCCTTCTGGAAGGTCTCTCCTTGGGGAACACAATTCCGAGCCTTGGGGCCGTTACCAAGCACATGGGCAGAACACATGACAGTAGGAGGCACGGCTCCTTGCAGCTTGATGTCCCCACTTTGCACCAATGCGCATATCGTCCGAGGGGTGGGCTCAAAACCGCACCCTTATTTGTTTAAAGGCTGGCAAGCCAGATTTGCGCCTACCGAATCCCCACGGGTGGATGGGTCACCTTTATGGGGAGAATGAGAACAGGAACGCCAGTCTCCTCTCTCGCGTGACGTGCGCTTGGTCTCTTTTCTCCTTCCTCCAGTGTGGATAAGAAGGGGAACGTTCACTACCTGATCAAGTGGAGGGACCTTCCCTATGACCAGGCCTCTTGGGAAAATGAGGAGGCAGAAATTCAGGATTATGACATCTACAAGCAGGGATATTGGAACCACAGGTAAGAATGTGAGGGCTTTTTGTGGAAAGGGTGAGCGTGAGTCCTAGTGGCTGTGCCTTTGCTGGACTGGTATTGTGAACAGAGCATCTTGTACTCTCTCTCTCTGAAAGGATTGGTGGTTTTCCAGAGCAATAAACTTTTTCCCCTCTCATCTTCAAGGGTTATTACTGATCAGAGTCTATTCAGCCTGTGTGTGGCACTCTATTTTTTTTTTTTGTTTTGCACAGGGAGTTAATGAGGGGTGAAGAAGGAAGACCCGGCAAGAAGATAAAGAAAGTGAAGTTGCGGAAACTGGAGAGGCCCCCAGAAACGCCAACTGTAGATGTAAGTTACACCTTCCCAGGTGCGGGAGCTGCTAGAAGGAAAGTGGACATATATTGGCTTGGCAGTTTGTGTCTCCAGGGTGGGGGCTGGGGAACCACATGGTGCGTCCAGATGCTCTCTCCCACTGAAGGGAGGACTGCGCCATCAGGGCAAGCCTGCGGATTAATGCATCCTGTGGAAACCTGGCCCCTAGCCAGTTTTGTTGCTGCCATGTAGCTGCAGAGGAGAAGCCTCCGCTCAGCCTGGAACACAGGGAGATAGCTCAGCTCTGGGCCTGCATCTCTTGCCAAGAGGTGCCTCTAATCTGGAGAACTGGGTTTGATTCCCCACTCCTCCACTGGCAGCCAGCTGGTGTGACCTTGGGTCAGTCATGAGTTCTTTCGGAGCTGTTCTCTCGAGGAGTTTCTGTCAGAGCTCTCTCAGCCCCACCTACCTCACAGGGTGTCTGTTGTAGGGAGGGGAAGGGAAAGGAGTTTGTAAGCCACTCTGAGTGAAGGGCGGTTATAAATCTACCTCTTCTTTGCCATGACCAGCTCTTTCTGTTAAAGAGAAGTGGCTGAGATAGATTGGGAGCCCTTGGCCCAACCAGCCAACAGCTACAAAGTATGATGGGGAAGCCATGATTTGCAGGCAGAGAGCAGTGGCATTGCTTCAAGCTCCTTCCAGTTCTTCTTCCCCAACAAGCACGGTGGGAGGCTGTGGAGAGAAGTGGTGGCAGTGCCTTCTGTGGCACTTAAGACAGTGAGGGAAAAGGGACAAGTGCGGCATCCAGCCAGCATGGTGTAGCAGTTAAGAGCGGCAGACTCTAACCTGGCGAGCCGGGTTTGATTCCCCACTCCTCCACACAAGGCCTGCTGGGTGACCTGGGGCCAGTCACAGTTCTCTCAGACCTCTCCTCTCCACCTCCCCTACCTCACAAGGGGCCTGTTGTGGGGAGAGGAAGGGAAGGTGACTGTAAGCTGCTTTGAGACTCCTTCGGGTAGAGAAAAGCAGAGTATAAAAACTTCTCTTACTCTTCCTGATTTGCTGGCCTTGGGTAAAGGGGAGCTGCGTGTACAACCCTAAACTCTATGGCGGAAGGTCAGGATTAAAAAACAAAATCGGACAGAAACAAGTCCCCCATGAAGCGCCCCAATCGCCTGTCACAAACAGAAGGCCCAGGCCCTGGTTAACCCTGATACTGTGCATACACTTAAAAAAACAGCAGTGTGCTGTCATCTGTGCTCGGTGTTGAGTAGGAAGGGGTTTCTGGTTTCTGTGCATGCAGTAGTATGGTGATGTATGGCTCGAAGGTATACAAGGTTGGTGTGTGAGTGTTATGTACATAGCCACCAGCATCCAGTTAAGACATGATGCTGAGTGGGTTGATCCCTTGGTGTGGGTAAATTTTCCCCGAACTGTTCCTGGTGTCTCATGGTTTTTAGATGAGGGCGCAGTTGATGGTTATCGCTCTTTGATCGAGTACTGTCCCTCTTACAATACATGAACTAGCATTAGAAGGATTACAGTGGAAAGGAGCAGTAATAATATGAAAAACACTGTAATGAGACGCTAAATAAATATAACTATTCGAATCAACTGGTGTGAAATTATTTTTTAACGTTTGAATGTTATACACAATTACAACAACATGTACTCTTAGAACTGTGTTGTCACACGGCTATGTGGTAAATCTGTACATTTTTTCAATTGCACTGAAGAAGTTTAACAGAATGAGGGAGTTTATACCCGGGATCCTCGTGTAATGAGCCTTCTTGATGATGATGGTTCCTCTCGATATGTTACTTCAAAATTGTACTCACGTGTTTGTTGATTTTTCTTGCTGTCATACAAAATTGTATTTCAATTGAATAATCAAGACCTTAGTGGAATTTCACGTTGTCGTAATTGTGTATAATCTACACACATTAAGAGATACACATAAGATAAAAAAATAATTTCACACCAGTTGATTTCAAATAGTTATCATATTTATTTAGCGTCTTATTACAGTATTTTTCATATTATTCCTGTCCCTCTTACAATACATGCACACGAAAGCGTACTGGAATTGACTGTGGCTGGCTTTAAGGATACCAGCTCTTCACAGCTAAGAGTGTTTGGAAAGTGAAGTTTGTTTTATTGTGTCTCTGGACTGGGACTTTGCACATCGAGCCAGCAAAGCAAGCCTTGGCTCTTGGCCCTGCCTTAGGGGAGCAGCGGAGAAACATTCCTTCTCTCTCCCACCATTGCAGCCGACAGTGAAGTACGACAGGCAGCCCGATTACCTGGACGTGACCGGAGGAACCTTGCATCCGTACCAGCTGGAGGGTCTGAACTGGCTGCGATTCTCCTGGGCCCAGGGCACGGACACCATTCTGGCTGACGAAATGGGCCTGGGGAAGACTGTCCAGACGGCCGTGTTCCTGTATTCGCTGTACAAAGAGGTGAGGGGCTGTTGTGTGGCTTGGAGTGCGCCTCGAACCCCCACCCCCTTCCGGATGCGTTCTTCCCGCAATCTTAGTTATCTCTGTATCTGCCCACAGGGACACTCTAAAGGACCATTCTTAGTAAGTGCCCCGTTGTCCACCATCATCAACTGGGAAAGAGAGTTTGAGATGTGGGCCCCCGATATGTACGTGGTGACCTACGTCGGGGACAAAGACAGCCGGGCCATCATCCGTGAGAACGAGTTCTCCTTTGAGGACAATGCCATCCGTGGAGGAAAGAAGGCTTCCAGGATGAAGGTATAGATGCCCCATTCGTGTGGGGTGCTCCCTGTTTTGCCTGCATCTGAATAGTTGAGCGTGTCGGGCCGGGAGACCCGGATTCAAATCCCCACCCTGCGACGGGAGTTCACTGGGTCACACATTCTCGGCTTAACCCACCTCACAAGGTGGCTGTGAGGATAAAATGGAGGAGAGGAGAAGGGCGTAAGCCGCTTTGGGTCCCACTGGGGAGAGAGGCTGGGTGTAAATAAACGAAACGTGCCCTGGGTTTGTCAGTAGATGACGGGTGTGGCTCAGTTGGGTCCTGTTCCGGTCCAATTGACGTCTGCATTGGATTCGTTCCCTTTAAAAGCTTAATGTGTGACCTCTGGTCTCTGCAGAAAGAGGCGTCTGTGAAGTTCCATGTGTTGCTCACTTCCTACGAGCTGGTCACGATCGATATGGCCATTCTGGGCTCCATTGACTGGGCCTGCCTCATAGTGGATGAAGCGCACAGATTGAAGAATAACCAGTCCAAGGTAGGGACCGGGTCCTTCGGCTCTGCAGTTCCTGTGATTCTGTCCTCTGATCTCGTAGCACAAACTATGGGGACTCGCCTAGATCAGAAATTTCTTCCCGAAGTGTTGTCATTTAAGTCCTGCGTAACTGCTGATGCCATTCGTATGCGTGTGCTTCTCTCCAGGTTACTCTGGACGCTTTGTTTTTCCCCTCTGCAATGACTTGCTGTGTGAATTTCTACTTCTGAATGTCCTTAAAATATGCTGGTGCTGCATAGTTATTTTTTACGAGACATGGAATACTTAAAACGTAGTTTCTCTAAAAGACTAATATTTAAACAAAATGAAAAGGCCGTGTTCTTTGTTTTCGCCTCGTGTGCGTTCCTCTGTGTTGTCTTCAGACACTGTTAATGTTACTCTGGTGGAACCAGTGCGTGTTCCTTAGAATGGGTTATGTGCAAGCAGAGGACTCGCTTGGAGAGCGAAGACAAGGATTGTTTGTTTTACAGAAATTTTCCCTGCCCTTCTCCCGTGGTAGGGCCACCGAGGTGGCTATCAAATTAAAACATATATAATAGAATTTCATCTTAAAAGCACGTTGTCGAGGCAATTAAAACCGGAGCTAAAATGATACAATACACAGAAACGATTAAAACTTTGGGGGAGAAGGGAGGGATCACTGAGGAAATCCCAAACGAAACAAAACAGTCTTCACCCCCTGGGCAGAAGAGGGCAACATAAGGGGGGGCAGGTCTCCTTGGGGAGAGAGTTCCAGGGTTTAGGTGCCACTGCCAAGAAGGCTCTGAGGTACAGCAGTGAACTGGATGACCCTTGACCACCTCTCCTTTCTCCCTCCGCCCTTTCCAATGCTCTTCTCAGTTTTTCCGGGTTCTGAACGGCTACTCTCTTCAACACAAGCTGCTGCTCACGGGGACCCCTTTGCAGAACAACCTGGAGGAACTGTTCCACTTGCTAAACTTTCTGACGCCGGAAAGATTTCAGTAAGTCCTGCATATGCCTGGGCCTCGATTGAATGGCTCCCCAGCCAAGAAAATAACTTCGTCTCATTCTCCCTCCACTTCTCCATTTGTTTAGCCTTTGAATACCTTATTAAATCTGTAACCTCACACCCCTTTCGTGCCTGCGATCCACATAAAACAATGGATGTGCAAGCTAGGATCTGAATTTATTCACGCCTCAGATATGCAGATAAAATTGTTTCTTCTAACCTGAAGATCTTTTTAAAGAACAAGCAAAATGTACAGACTGGAGGAGGACCTGGGCTGAAAAAATTGAGGTCTTTGGGGCTTCGTTGCTCATGGGGTTTATGAACCACGAAGCTCCACGATGATGGACCAGGTTGTGGTTTGTGGGATCATGAAGGGAAGGCATTCAAAATGCCCTTATAGTTATTTTTTACGAGACATGGAATACATAAAACGTAGTTTCTCTAAAAAACTAATATTTAAACAAAATGAAAAGCCCAGATCTTCCGTGTTCTTTGTTTTCGGCTCGTGTGCGTTCCTCTGTGTTGTCTTCAGACACTGTTAATGTTACTCTGCTGAAACCAGTGCGTGTTCCTTAGAATGGGTTATGTGCAAGCAGAGGACTCG